TGTGTGTGTGTGTGTGTGTTGTGCGTCTGTGTTTGTGTGTGTGCGTGCGTGTGTGCGTGCGTGCGTGCGTGCGTGCGTGCGTGCGTGCGCGCGTGTGTGCGTGTGTGTGTGTGTGTGTGTTTGTGGGTGCGTGCGTGTGTGGTGTGTGTGCGTGTGTGTGTGTATTTCAGCTCTTTCCTGGGTTAGCGAGCGTGTGGCCCACTGGGGCGCGGGGCCCGTGGGAGTTTGGCGAGGGCGTGCCTCGGACACATGGCACGCCGCCCGCCGGCCATGCGGGGAAGCGAGAGGGGATCGCGGCGGTGGGTCCAGCGGCCTTCGGCCCACGCCGCCGCTTTGCCGGGTTTGCGGTGCAGTGCGCAGCAGCAGGAGGTGCATCAAAGCCTGACGCCCTGCCGCTGCGAACAAAATATCGCCATGCGCAGGGTGTCGTCCAGACTTTCAGTCCATGGGGGGGGCCCTAACCAGACCCCGAGTGCGTCAAACAACTGCTCAGGATGAACGGCTCCTCTCAGTGAAGAGGTCCCTCTTGGGTGCTCGGGGGCATTCTCAGAGGCCTCTTTGGGGCGTCGTCGGGGTCTTGGGGCACTGGTAGGCCCTACCCCTGGTAGGCCTCGCTTGGGGCCCTCTCGAAGTCCTTGTGGGCCCCTCGTGGCGGCTTTAGGAATTCCCTTGGAGACCTCTTTGGCCGTCTTTCGTGGTCTTCGGATGGAGGGGCTCCAAGACGGCACGAGAGACCTCCAAGACATCTCCTAGACGGATTTGAGGAACATTTTGAGGTGTGTGTGAGAGGCGTGGGTCAACACCCACGCTTCCATGGGGCTCCAGAAAGTCACGCGTAAGACCTCAAGAGCACCTGGAAGTGCGGGCAAATAGATTCTGTTATGGACTCAGAACAGTCAGCTACCTGATGACACTCCGTCGCGTGCCTGGAGGCACAGTTGCGGATTTGACAGAGGAGCAGTTTGTCTCCGTGCCCGTCGGGCAGATAGCGCCTTGGCGCGCCATCTGTGATTTTCAATACCGTGCTCTTTCGAGGTCTGTCTCGCCATGTGCTCGGGGTGCTCCTGAAGGCGCGATCAATCGAAAAGGTCCATGCTTCCTGCGTCATCGTGTCGCGATGTCGCGTGTATGATTCGTGACAACGCACCACCGCGTTACACCTACTTGTAGCTGGTGGCCGTTCAAAAATTGGAGAGGGGGACGCTTAAGGTCTTCGATCATCTGGATCACCATTAAATGAACATGTTTCGGTGGTCGTGTGGCGTGCTTGTGGGTCAGCGCGCAGAAGTCATGCTGAAGAGATCGTCCATAGCACCAGCGCGAGAGCCAATTTGAAGATGATTCGCAGTGTAGGTCCAATGTCAGGTTCAATCAACGGCTTGTGCATGCAATGCCCTCCCTAAAACGTGTGATGCTGAATAGCCCTTCGCACCCTGAAAAGGGCGGATTGCCATACTTGGATTTGGGTTCGTTGGCCGCCACGCTTCAGCAGGTTCGCTACAACCAGCTGCACACCAGATCGGGCACACCATATCAGTATTAGAAAAAAGAGGGGGCCCGATACGGGCGCCAGGAGAAAACACAACGTCTTCAGAAATCATGCCCACAGCTCGCGCCCCCATCGCGGTGCGATGCACTATCCTGAGGCCCGAGAACATGTTCGCGACGCCCGGGTCTGAAGGGAGGATGGCGCATATGTCCGTTGTTTTGGTATTCGATGCGCGATTTCTGACGCCTTCCCTATACAGGGCAATGCGTTCATCTCGGATCGTTTCTGTTGTTGGCCTGGGCTCCGAAAGTGAACCTTGGGCCTGGGGTCCCAAATTGGAGAATGACGATTTTTCGAACCCTCCGTGGTTTGGGGTCACTCGTTTCCAACCTCCTCCTGCCTCATCACTCCTCATGTCTCCTGCGGTCTGCCTGTCTCCAAACTCGTCATCATGGTTGTTGCCAGCTGCTGCCGGATGATCAGCCGTCAGCTGCGCCTTTGGGGGGTCCAGAAGGGTGACTCGTTGCGACACGTACCGCCCTCTTTGCGTACTGCCTGACGCGCATGTGTTGCCATTCTGTTGCGCCCCTGCCGGGTGCCCCCGCATTGCTACGCCCATGCGCGGCCCAGCTTCATGACGGCGCCCGCCAGACCCCGTCCTCCCTATAGGTGCTTCCAGGCGCGCATCTGATGTTACCTTGTGCGTTCCCGCAGCTGTCGCAGCTTTGCTGCGCCCCTGTGGGGTCAGCGGGGTGACGTCAAACGGTACCTCGCGCTCTCTGAACGGTTGCCATTTGCGCATGCGTCGCCATGTTTGTCAGCATCAGGAAGGTCCAGCAGGTCGCGGGGCTACCCTGATTCAAACGGTACTTCGAGCGTGGCTGCCATCTGCGCAACCGTCGCCACTTCTGTCAGCCTCAGGGAGGTCCAGCGGGTTGCGGGCATCCTCACCGCTCATTAATAATTATGATCCTGTCGTGCTGCACTCTTCCTCCTTACCCGTCTCTTCCTCCCTCTCCCCTGTCCCCCTGATCCACCTCCCTGTCCGCGTCCTTCATTCACCTCGGAGGGTGCGGAGGACGAAGGAAGAGGGAGGGGGAGGGGGAGGACTGCGGAGGAGCAGGAGAATGCAGAGGCGAAGGGAGGAGGAGGAGGAGGAGGAGGAGCACCAGTGCAAACCCAAGAGTCATCAACGATGTTGGAATTAACCCTCCCGCGTAGCTCCCTCTTCATAGGCCCCTACAGCGGTTCATTTCCATTGAGGGAACTGCATCATTGGAAGACAACCGGTTGAAGATCCTAACGCATGCCAAGACATTGTTCTTTGGATTTCAACGCCACGGATCAACCTTGCTGCGGCGTCTTGACAATCCGGAATCATGCCAGAACGCCATTTGGGGGATTTCAACACCGCGAATCAAGATGCTTGTTGCACCTTGTGAAATCCTGAACCTTTCCGAAACACCATGTCTGGTACGCTGATCATGAGAATCCGTGAAACCCTTGCAAATTGTTAAAACAAATGCGCGCGGCGCTAAGGCGAGAGCCACATTTTGAAAAGGAACCGCCCTGAATCCGTGAAGCTCTTGCAAATTGTTAACGAATGTGCGCGGCGCTAAGGCGAGTGCCACATGTTGAAAAGGAACCGCCCTCAATCTGCGAAACCCTTCTAAATATTTAAAAGCAAATGTGCGCGGCGCTAGGGCGAGAGCCACATTTTGAAAACCACTCGCCCCCAATCCGTGAAGCTCTTACAAATGTTTAAAGCGAAGGCGCGCGGCGCTAGGGCGAGAGCCACATTTTGAAAACCACCCGCCCTCAATCCGTGAAGCTCTTGCAAATCTGTAAAGCGAATGCGCGCGGCGCCAAGGCGAGAGCCACATGCTGAAACCGACCCGCCTTCAATCCGTGAAGCTCTTGCAATGTTTCTAAACGAATGTGCGCGGCGCGAAGGCGAGAGCCACATGTTGAAAACCACCCGCCCTCCATATGTGAAACTGTTGCTACTTTTGAAACTTCAAGGTCGTAAGTGGTGAGGAAGTCTCGGGCAAAACGCCTGGCCCACCCTAAAAGCCGGCCTCGGGGTGCGACATAAGGGAATTGAATGGAGAAGGGGGAGGTGGTGGATCTGGAGGAGGCAGGGGCGGAGGCGGGGAAGAGAGGCGGAGGATGGAGAGGAGGAGGAGGGAAACGACGGTGGAGGAGGCGAACAAGGCGGGTGGAGGCGCAATGGCGGGAGGCGCCAGCGGTCGAGGACGAGGGAGTATGGGTGTTGGAGCAGGAATGTGCAGGAGGAGGAGGAGCAGGAGGAGGAGGAGGAGGAGCAGGAGGAGGAACAGGAGGAGGAACAGGAGGAGGAGGAGCAGGATGAGGCAGATGCAGGAGCAGGATGCCCTTCAGAACTGTCCGCGGCTCTTCTTCCGCCGCCGCCGTGCGCCCCCAGCAGGCGGGGGGGGGGGTTGTACGGTCTCGCGCGCCCTCACCGGCCTGCCCCCCTTGCCCGGGGCCCCCCCTGCCACCGAGCGATCCTGCCCTCCCCTGACATCCTCCCGATGCGACAAAGATCACCGCGACATGCTGTCCTGTGTTCGGCCTCAGGGGGCTCCTGCCGGGCGCCCGGGACCGCTAACCAGTGGATACATTACGAGAGGCGGTCCACGCTGTGAAAAAAAACACGACCGGGGATGTCTGGGTCCCCGTCCCCCATCCAGGTTGAGATGCTTCCTTCCCGCGGATTTCGGGCATCTCCAGGTCAGGCGTCGGACACTGAGATTAGGGCGTCGCATTCTCCCACAACCTGCGATCTTGCGCTGATAGGGCCCCAGGTCCCTCACGGACATGGATCCGGCCCAGAGAACTTGTAACACAAGGGTGGTGTCCAAGGCTCCGGTCGGGTTTGTTTACGATGTTGCAGTTTTTTTGTGACGTCGGAATTCGGGAGTGGCGTAAACCGGACGGAGTAGGACGAGGATAAATCCCTTTCGGAGCGTTGCGGAACGTGCTCAGAGCGTTCCGGAACTCTCTGAGAAGGCCGCGACGCCCGATACATTTTCCACCGCCGCTTGATCTCAGAGACTCTCGATTTCCCCTCGTCCGAATTCGTCCTCGTCCTGGCTTTGTTTAGCGTGCAAGCTCGCCCTGCTTTCCGGAAGAGGCGTCGGAGGCCGAAGAAGGTCTGCGCGAGGCGCTGCGCGCGAGCGGTGCAGTCGGGCGAACCCCAGTGGAGGGGGTGGAGGTTGAGGAGGAGAGGGAGGAGGAGGAGGAGGAGGAGGAGGAGGAGGAGGAGGAGGAGGAGGAGGAGGAGGAGGAGAGGAGGAGGAGGAGGAGGAGGAGGAGGAGGAGGAGGAGGAGGAGGAGGAGAGGAGGAGGAGGAAGAGGGGGGAGAGGAGGAGGGTGATGGGGCGGGGGAGGGGGTTGTGGTGGGGGACTGGACTCGCCCGGTGCGGCAGGGGGGTGGCCTCCCCCAGTCGCGTCCCCCCGGGCCGCGCCGCCCCGCCTCGCCCCTCCGGCC